GCTAATTTCATTATTGGAACAGGCTTGTATATCAGAGCTGGACAAAGAAGCTTTCCATGTGTAGAAGATGACATGAACTTGACCTCTGCCAAGAGACCCACAGCTTACAAGTGCTTTTGTGCACACAGTGAACACCTGTACTAATCATGCCTACCGCTAACTTGAGGGTCATGATTTGTGGCAAAAGTTTTAAATCAGCCACCACAGGAGACAGACAGCATTATATTACTAGCACAATTCTTCAGAAAGTGGAAAGAAAAATAAAATTTAAAAAGCCTATAAACTACATGGCAAGATAGAAATACTATAAAAGCGTTGAATAGTTGAACAGAGATCACTTGCAATCCTTTGGTGCAATGCTGATTGAAAAAGTACATGGAAAGTATGAATGAAGTGGAAGATTTTAAATTTTGTTATTATGACCAATGTCTTTTAGACTGAACAACAACTTTTCCCTTTGAACTTGACTGGCTAAAGGGTGAATGCTTCATTATAAGGCTTTGATTAAACACAGCAGGTGAGCTGACCCAACAAAATAATGTTTGATCATGGAACTGTTCATGCATCAAGTATGAAACTATCCTTATGTGCTTCACTGTGTATCTTTCAACTTCAATATTATGTTCAAAATGAGGCACAGTCTATGCACGATGAAGCCAACAGCAAAGGAAAGTTTGGTGAAGACAAGGAGGATTTTATAAAGTTGATGGGAAAAGATGGAACAACTTTACACAATACCAGATATGGGCTGTCTGGAAGAATCAGAGCCTGTGGTAAGAATGCCTTGATTTCTCAGCATTAGTTAATGCTACAAATGTACAGAATATTATACTTAGGTTCTAGAGCTCAAACATTTGTTTATGCTTATCTTGGGTAATTTAAAGGGTCCAATATCAAACCCTTGGCCATTTTGAAGAGCATTTAGGGGGGTTGCAGACTGCCAGAAATAGTGCAAATTGAGTCCACTTTTAGGGTTAGGGTTAGTGCTAGGGAATCATGGGAACTTTTTTTTTCTAAGACATTGAGCCTTCTCTGTCAGAGAGCTCTGGTGCCACAATAAAATACAGTTCCCATGATTCCCTAACCCTAACCCTAACCCTAAAAGTGGACTCAATTTGCACTATTTCTGGCAGTCTGCAACCCCCCTTAGTCATGCAGAGATGACTAAATGATAATCGTATCAAACCAAATCCTACATTGCATCTAAGTGACCAATGACTGCCCAGCTAAGATATGACTCTCAAGATAATATTGCCTGGTTTACAGCCTCTGATCTTTGAAGGGCAGCAATACATTTTAACAAAATCAGCTATGAAAATGGTGTGTGAGCTTGCCTAACAAAATCCTTAGCTGGGAAAGTGAAAATGCTGTGCAAAGACTCAGGCTTAAACTGAGGACCTATTCCTATGCTTTCCCCATTTTCTCTTCCACCTCTGGCATTCAAGCCTGGTGTGGATAGTGCATAAGGAATTGTTCTGTCATCTCTGAAGGGTACAATGCTTGGACAGAATGTTCTTTCTCCTGTAAGAGCATAGGGAAGTCTCTGGTTTACAGCCTCTGATCTTTGAAGGGCAGCAATACATTTTCTGTTCCAAAAAAGATTCCTAGTTCACCTCCACTCCTGATCTCCTGGTGTGTAGAATATCAAGAAAGAAGGAAGATGCAAAGAACAGAAAAGTGAACAGCATGTTTCCACTGGGGAATGGGGGATGCCTTGCTGGACTAGGCCCACAAATATTTGCAATTGGCTCTGAGCCCTGGCAAAAGAGAATAACATTAGCTAGAAAAAACAACAAGCAGCTAAAACTCTGAAAAGAAACTGGAGGGCATTTTTGGAACTGAAAGTTAAATTCATGAGAGTAAGCTCATGCAAAAAGCCTTTAAAAAAACAAAACAAAAACAAAACCTGTTAGCAACTGTATTTAAAACAAACACTCTGGAGATGACATGCAAAAGCCCCAAGCTGCAGAACAATAATAGGTTTGTGAATTAGGATTATAAATCCCCCATTTTCTGAATGTGACAGACATCAGGAATATACATGATTGAGTCAGCAGTTATGAAGACATACAGTGCAGGCCACTTAAGTCTCAAAACTGCCATTTATCATTTCCTGAGAGAATGGTTTCTTGGCAAGCGTCCTCTGCAAACATGACAAAAAAAATTCCAAAACAACCCCACCATTCCAGGGGACTATGAATACCACTGTAATTTGGGCCATTTTTCATATTAAACAGTCTGTGTGTTGGTTCTTAGTTAATGAAGGAAACATCCTTGTCAGATTCTTAGCCTCATTTCAAACAGTGCACATACTATAATGAACTTAAAAACACTCCCAGTTGTAAATTGAAATGAAGGGATGAGGGAGGGAATCAATTCTTAAAAAATAAAATCAAATAAAAATATCCCTGGGTCCTTGCTCCTACCTCCCCCAGAATCAAATTTATTTTATTTGACTGCAACAGTAGCCATTCTGGATCTAATTAATTGTACCAAGATTTGCAAGATTACATTTTTATCACATCTTTCCTCCAAGGCTTTCAGAGCAGCACATATGCCCCCTCCTTTATATTTTATCTTTATTGCAACCTTGCACCAAGAAGAATGGTATGGACTAACCCAAAAGTCATCCACAAAGCCTTGTGACTAAATGGGGATGTGAATTCAGAGGCTTGTCTACACTAAATCCTGAGGTATTTTTCAATTAGTATTGTTCTTTTTAGGACATATAGACTGGTTTCATTACATATTAATCCTGGGAGTTAAAATCATGGTGTCTCATTCTGGGGCAGATCTGATATACTCTCCCTCTTCTCCTACATGCCACATTAAACATACACAAGTGTACGTGTAGACTGAGGGATGCCTACTGGGACTGTACCCTTCTCCTGACTGGTTGCTATTTGTGACATGTCTCAAGATGTTTTGGGTATTTTTTTTAACTAATAAAAAATCTGACTTTTGAACATCTTGAGACATGTCTCCAGTTTCTTCAGTGGCCCAAACTTCTTCTTTCGATGTTACTCATGCCCACACTCATGCCCTTTGCCCACCCTTGTACTTTTCAGGAACACATACCCTTTGTTGTTGTGGTTGTTAGCTGCCCTCGAGTCAGTTCCAACTCATGGCAACTCTGTGATGAGACATCTCCAAGATTCCCTATCTTCCACTGCCTTGCTCAGATCCTGCAAGCCCTTGCCAATAACCTCCCTGATTGAGTCTATCCATCTGGCTTGTGGTCTTCCTCTCTTTCTTC